GAGAGAGAGAGAGAGAGAGAGAGAGCACACAGGGGAGGAGACACAGGGAGGCAGGCAGAGAGTACAGGAAAAAAACAGGGGAAAACAGAATCACAAGTAAAAAAGGAGAAATAAACAGGACATTCACTGTCAGCTGGGCTGCCACTACAACAACAATCTGCATGTTAAAATCACGCTGAGGCCCGCCTGCCCGCCCCCATCATCCTATGTGACTCCCCAGTTGAGACTGTGGAGTCCTTCAGCTTCCTGGGTACCATCCTCACCACGCACTCCGAATGGGAGGTGACAATACAAGTGAAAACAAAACACTAATAAGCAGTTTATTAATGTATTTTGCTAAAGGCAATTATCACCAGTTAAAATCATTGCGCTGGGGTCAGCAAGTAAAGCCCATCAATGAATGAGTCCCATAGCGTCTATAAGCTGTATTATGTGTGTGTCTGGTGTAGTGTGATTTACGATGCTATCACTGTTTCCAGGAGAATATCCAGTGCATCTTAATTGACAGTGTTTGCAGAAGAGTGTCTTGTTGTTGAAAAATGCTGACAAAGCTGTATCCAGTTTCTTCACAATGGGAGAGGAGAGAAACATTTGTTTTTTTTAATATTATATATTTATACTTATCACAGGGTGTTTAACTACCAATTCCTATAGAAAAGGAAATGTTTCTAATCAGCCTCTTAAATTATAAAGTTGGAAGTGTCAGCTTTAGTTACACATTGTCATCACATTATAAAGTTTTCAATTCACACATTTTGTCTGATCATTATAATAACTTTTAATTACCATACTCTTCAAGATTGCCGGCTTTAAGCCATTTAGCGACAGGTGTGACAATTATCACCCCTTTGGTAAATACAGTATTTGGTTAAATCACAGTGCAATGTCCACATGACTATACAGTAGTGGGCTAAAATGATCTAAATTTGCGCTATAATTGCGATTATAGAAGCAAAGACCGTTTTGAATGACTGTGTGCCAGGAATAAAAGTGCCAGTTTCTAGCAGAAAATAGCCAAAGAATTTGATTTGCACAAGAGTGCTTTAACACAAGACTGTGTGTGTAAGATACTGAAGAAGGGAAAAGAAGGGATAAAGAGGATTGGTAATGATTTTTAACTGGTGTGATGAATGGTTTGATATGTATACTGTAAGACATGTATATTATTATACACCATTTACAGTATGCAGAGGAAGCTATTTGTGCAATCTCTGATTGTTGTAGGCTTGTAAATATTGAATTGAATTGATATATAGGTTTTTGTAGCAATATGAAGACCTCTCTTGATTTATCTGGTTTTTAATTCAATGCATTGGATTAGCGAGCATATTTTAATTGTATCTACAAAAGAGCTTTCAGTTGAGTTTCAAGGAAATATTTGATATCATGAAATATATATCTATATTGCAATTGTGTGGATTCTTGTTGGTAGGGCGGTGAAGGGGTTGAGTGTGTTTGTGGGTACAGTATGTGCTAGTGTGTGCATATGTTTGGGTCAGCATGACATAGAAAACTTGACAGCTGGGAGTTGGGTTGACTGCAGAGTAGGACCCTGCCTTTCTTTATATCCCTGCCCTCATTGTCTGTTGAGGTTAGGCAGCCATATGCACCAGTGAGCTGTCAGAGCAAAAGAAAAGACATTGAGGAATGGCGCCATATAGCCTCTTTCTCATAATTTTTTATAAGTACTGTGAATTTGTCTCATACAAAACCTTTTTGTGGCCATCATGCTCGTGTTCTTTGCATCACGCCGCTGCCATTAATGTTTTATTGGCTCACACTTCGCCGGCCCCTCTGAAAGCTCCTCATGCATTTGTAATTTATGATCCCTGTGAAGTGCTGTTAGTCATTCTGTACTGACTGTACCTTTTTTGGGGGGGGGGGGGGGTTAAGCATTACATGACTAACATCCAGTGTCTGGCTGTTAAGTAGAGCAGTTTCTTTTTGGAGGGTGTTTATCTGGATCTCAGGGAATAAAATTGACCTGAAAGTGGTGCAAGCTTCTCAGTCGTCCTTCTGTAAATTTGAAGTAAACTGTAAATACACAGAGCAAAGCTGTGTCAGCTTGTAAGATGTTGAAGCTTGAGGAAGTTTGGAAAGCAAAGAGGACGTGTGACTGAAAGTGTTTAATATACAATAGCTTAACTCAGCGTCTTACCACAGTAGACTTATGTCATATGAGCTGCTCAGATACTTTTTTATCCTGCTCAGTCCACTCTTTCTGTGCTCATTAAGTCTGTTGTTAAGGCCTATCTGATTTAAAGTATGTCCTTCTAACAACTCCAACATAATTATTAGTGCAATCAAGCCTGACTAACCACCCCAAAATCCTCACCGCGATGCTATCATGAGCTTCTTTTTCTGGGTCACTAAATATTTATGAAGCCTCCAAGCACATTGTGGGTTGTTTTTAGTGACAACAACAACAGGGTTGTAACAACAAGTCTTTTGAGAGTCTAATTCCTATCAGAGCACTAGCTTGCACCTCAACCTGGCTGTAAATATGTATGAGATTCCTCCTTTGTGACTTCCTGGGAGGTAAATCAACCAAACACGTCAACAAAGACCGTATGTATTTCTAAGTGCAGTGCTGGTAGATAGGAGCATCTTGTCAGGGTTGAATATCTCGTGTTCCTCCTTGGGGATTGGGGAATTAGAAGGTTACCAGCAGCTCTCAGGTACAATTTAGAAGGGATGATGGTGGGGGGGGGCTTTTGAGCGTTGCCATGGCACCATCCACATTGGCGGATACTAGGAGGCCAACATGTTGTGGGTCACTGACGAACATCTTGACCTCCTCTTTTCCTACAGCAGCCAGTGTTGATGTGAAATGATGTGAAAATGTAAAATATAAAAAGCCTTCGTTCATGTTGACACACACGTTCAATATGCACTGTTTATTCAGGCATTCATTTAATGAGCATTTACTCTAGAACTCAAACAATTGGTTGATTGATCCAGTAGTCCATTGACAGAAAATTAAAGCAATAATTTTATAACTGATTACTCATTCCATTCTTTTTAAGCCACGCCGGTGGATGGCAATACCAGTCTGTTGGTCGGTCCACCACTTCGGCCCAGACTGAAATATCTATTTGATGGATTGCTTTTAAATGGTCCCCATGAAGCCTCCTGACTTTGTTGATCCCCTGATTTTTCCTCTACAATCACCATGAGGGTCACATTTTTAGTTTTCAGTGAAATATCTCAACAACTATGGGGTGGATTGCAGTGACATTTGATACATAATGCAGTATGAGCATTTCATGTAGCGCCACAAACAGATCGACGTTTTCACCTCTGTGACACATATAGTAGGTTATATTATAAATTAAAATTTGTGGTTTTGAGCAGAATATCTCAACTATTGGATTATTTGCTTTGAGATTTGGCGCAGACATTCAAGTTCTCCCTCAGGTGGCCATTATGTAGGGGTTTTCTTCATCCAATTTATTATTAATTAATTAATTTATTATTTTTTTATTCCAATACTTTATTTATGTACTTTATGACCAAATACCTGCAAAACTGACATTCCCATCAGCTTCAGTTATGCTTTTTGTTTAGTGCTAATTAGCAAATATTAGCATGCTAATATGCTAAACATAGGTGGGAAACAAGATCAACTTTTAGCATGTTAGCATTTATCTCAAACTACTGCTGTTCCCTGTAAGTTCAACTTCACAGAGCTGCTTGCATGGCTGTAGACTTCAAGTCTAAAATTCTAATCATTTGATTCCTTCTCAAATGTGAGGTTTTGTTGCTTTTATTTGCTGTATCTGATAGTAAACTGAATCTCTTTTGGTTTTGGCTGATATTTGGATAAAACCAAATCAAAAATCAAAGATATCACATCAGGCTCAGGGAAATTAAACTAGACATTTTCAAAATGCTTTGATATTCTATAAACAAAATTATTAATCGATTAACAATAAAATTAAATAAAAATAATCAGCAGATATTTTTGATCACTCCCAAACAGGGGAAGCTGTGGAAGTGAAACACAGAAAATAGTATCATAATCAATTTAATTACATTAGCCTATGATTTTCCCCATTTTGCACCATTAATATACAACATTGCATTAAAGATACCACATAGGTTTCAAAATGATGATTATGAGTTTAATTTGATGTTGTAAACAGGAGCCAAAAGATAACACAATCATAAAATACTTTCAAGACTTTTCAAGTATTCACAACTCATTTGCATTGTTTACAGTTATTCACCCAAGGAAGAGCCACATAAAGCAATCCATTCAATCAGCATAGCCATTTAGATGGCTACATCACTCTTTTGGTGTGTCCACGAAGCACAGATCCGCTAGTCAATGAGTTTTTGTGAAGTTTGGTAACAGAAGTGAGAGGGCGTTAAATATTGTAATCAATTTGCCTGAACACACTGTTGACACTTTAGCTTACAATCACTTGCCCACCTCTACTTCAAGGTTTTATAAATAGCAATCCTTTTTAATGTCAAATTTGCAGAAAGTTAATTGTTCTACATTTAGTCAGATTACTTTACCTTCATTTGAGTGGGTTTAATTTGATGTCAGGTTTAACCTTTGTGCATCTAGCCAACAAGACAGTCAACCTCTGACCCAGGAAACTGCATGTCCATTTGGCTGAGCTTTACCTTCTGTGTAGTGGAGCAGATCGAAGCCGAGATCAGAGAAATGTCGCCCTAAGATGGAGCGACTGAGGGAGGCGAGGAGAGCAGTAGGGGTTAATCCTCTGGAGGAACGAGGCCAGGCTTCATCAAAAGGGGCCAAAGTGAGGTGGAGACATGCAATATTGATAGAGAGAGGAGAGGAAAGTGTTGGCTGGTAGATGAGAGTAGGAGACTATTCAGACAGGTGTCTAACCACGAACTGACACACACACACACACACACACACACCTGAGGTTGTTTTTTTTCGTGCATTGAAAAGGTTTTTGCTAGTTGGAAAATATGTTTAAATTTAGGCACTGTCACTTATGATTTCTTGCTTTCATTTCCAGAATAAAGTCCTGAACATTGATGGAGTCAAGGTGAAGCTCCAGGTAAGAACAGACAATCATCAAACAACTGTTTCTAGCACAATTTCTCTAAGATTTGTTGCAAGAGAAAGGTGTCAACCAAATAAGAATCAGGCTCCAACCCCCTGTGGCATTTTAGCCACCTGTCAGATCCTGTTTCCAATCCTTCCTGTCTCCAAGATAAAACCCATTTTAGCTTTAGCTGATTTACTTTAGGTAGCTAATGCATGTGCGTAATCGCTCAAGATGATGTAAAGATCTGTCAGTGGCTTTATTTTGTAAGGGAGAATCAATGATCTAGATACAAAAGCCCCTAAAAGATAATTAAGGGTTATCCATCTCAATTAATACTTTCCATTAGGCTTTGGCTTGTCTTCCCTAGTCCAGACTGCATTTACTGTTTTGAGAACTGGTGACTCAGCATTGTTGTATGTTTGATATTTTTGTCAAACGGAGCAAATAATTGTGTGAATCATCCCTAATGATCTTAATTAGGGGTTGATGGAGGCTGGTCGAGTGGGCCTTTACTCTGTGATGTATCTATTTGGGGTTAATTGGCTCAATGTCAGTTTGCTGAGCAGCTTGTAACCTACAAACAGCAAGAGAGAGAGTTATTTTTCCTCCTATAATTGCCATTCTTCACTTTGATCCTGCAGGGATGGTTGCCCCAGGGGGCAATCAGGAGGCAGAGCCAGCATTAAAGTTGGCATTTCTCAGAAAGAGGAAGAAGAAGAAGACAGGGTCCAGAGCAAATGCTGAAAAAATCTAGGGAATGTTGCAAAATACAAACACAAAATGAGGGGTTCAGTCAACCTGCACAGGTCTTCTGTGGGGAGAGAAGAAAATGCAGATGCCATTAGAGCCAAATTGTGATGACAGAGATGCCTGATGGGAAAAAGAAGGACTTAATTAGCCAAATTCCATTGAGCTTGGACAATGGGACAAATAGCATCGACCATGGCTAATTTATATTCAATATCATGACCCAGACTGAGCTAAAAATTAGTAATGATGGGGAAAAGTACAATATGTGCTGTGACCTTACATCTGCACTAATCAATATTCTTTTGTATGACAGATGTATTAAATTACTATGTGTAATGTAAAACGGCTCTCTTGTAGTGATAAATCCAGAGAATCACCACCTGATGCCTTGTTGCCTTCAGCTCCAGAGTGTTTTAGCATCTTATAGCCCAGTTTTGATTTCACAGCCTTCGCCTTTAGTGTTTTGGTTCACCCTTATCACTCCAACCAACCTTATATAGATATGTTCAGCAGAGAAAAGCTCTGATAAACCCTCTGTAGCTGGTGAATGCAGCATCCTGCACTCTAAACCGGAATAAGTAAGCAGTACTCAAAAAGATTAAGGCAATCGTTTGCCACAATTTTTTTGAGTTTATAAACTCAAAAGTCAGAAGTTTATGGAACTTAAATATTTAGAGTTTGGGTTACATATACTTTTTGATTACTGTTAGACAAAACCACTGAATAACATGACTCAAATATTTATAGTTAATGCAACTCTAAAATATTCATTGGACAGAAGTTAATCATTTTAAGTATGAAAACCCAGTGTTTCATGTTCTATGAACTTAATATTTATTAGTTTCTTGTTCAATATTTTCAATTACTACTAACTCAAAACCACTGACTTCCTCATACACAAATAATTTACCCCAGAACTTAAAATATTTGTGGCAACTGATTGCCTTAATTACACTACTAACTTAAAAAAAAAAAAACATGTCAAATTAAAAGTACAAGTCAATATTTTTGCCTATTTCCCAGGTCTTTTTAGGACAGATTGAAACATAAACAACATTTGAAATAAAGAAAAACGTCTAATTAAAAAGAAAAAACATACAAAAAGAAATTAGCAATTGCAAAGATGCACTTTGGGCCATCTTTTAACCTGCTGTAGACATGAATGCTCAGTAATTCTCAAAAATACAAGTACAACTCCATTCTTACAAGTCAAGTTTTCTTTATTCAACAATCATTATCACAACTTGTAACATCTCCTGCCATTTCTATATTTCACAGAAACAAACCGTTTATGTACATGAGTACATTCAAACTTCTTTCAACAAGTACTTTTAGTCACAGCTTCAGTGGTTTGCTATCATCAAGACATTATTATTTTCTGAACAAAGGTGAATGCGTAAATTAGTTTCTTTGGATAATCACTCACAATTTCCACTTCGACTACAACAGAAACGCTCTCAGGGTTGAAGTGGACCGCAGCAGGGGCGTCGTCAGTGACCACAGTGAGGAGAGCCACAGGCGTGTCAGCAATATCTGGTTCATCTTTGCACTGCAAAATACAAACAATCCAATTATGAGGATAATTTTAAAAAACAGGTTGCAAGTCATGCACTGCTTCATCAGTGCCCCCCACAAACTGAAAGCGCTAACTTTTTTATTGTACAATTCACATTTTAGCATTTTATTGAGATAGACTAGAAGAAAAAAAAATCTATGAATTAGGGTTGGACCGAGACAATGACTGACAGACATCACGATGTTGAGCCGGCATTGTGATTGTAATCTTAGTCCTAATTTTTCACATTATACTACCCTGTGAAAGCAGTTTTTAATCCCCACAAATATTATCATTTTTAAACATACATAATGATATTGACATTGTGTGTGAGTATACTGAGGACTTACATTGCGGGTCTTGAAGAAATCAGTCACCCTCTCTGGGAGGGCACGAAGGGCCAGAATGCGTCTCATGTGTACATCATGTTGTTTCTAGATTGATAATCAAAATAATTATCATTATACAAATGTTGTTATAGTGTAACAGTTATACCAATGTAATTCTAAAAGAATAATAATACTATTATTAGCAACAACAGCAATAACAATAATAAATCCATCCAGCTGCAACTACCTATAAGACGAGACTTACAACATGACAAAAGATTTGGAAGCCAGTGCAGAAGGCCTGGACCCCAGTATTCTAGTTATTCACTAGGGGTGGGAATTTCTGGGCACCTCACGATTCGATTTGATTACAATTCAGAGGGCTGCGATTCGATTATAAAACGATTATCGATGCATCTTGACATAACTTTCCCCTGGAGATTACTAAGCTTTTAATTTGCACATTTAAATCCAAAAGAAACATCTCCTAATTAGCTTAAAAGGACTCGTTTGCATCCCTAATTTACTTTATTAACCTCAGCTCAATGGTCCATTTCTTTAACATTCAGACTCCTCTGAAAACAGACAAATAAAGTTAATTATTAGGATATAGCCTACAGTATGTGTACAGGACAGAGCTGTACACCAGTTTAGTCTAAGCTTGTACCTGATGTTCTCAACCCTTGACTAATAGGTTAGTTAGTAATGACATAACATTACAGCTGATAATTAACATTACTTCATTACTAATTTAGCTAAAGTTACATAAATAAATAAATATTTTAACGCATTTCACGGTACCCAAGGACGCTTTACACATAGTTACAGTTACAGAACAAAAAAGTCATTCAGCATTGAATGTCCGGTGTGGGGGACAGAGAGCAAGCCCTTGTCCAGGGGAGATGTTAGCTAGTGCTAACAGCCTTCACTCTTCCAGCTGTTGGGGAAACTACAGACTATTAACGGACACACAGTGACCTACACTGCACGTTTACTACCTGACTGAAACTTACTGCTAATATTTTCCTCTGCTAACTTTCACCGTCACGTTCTGCCACCCTCTCTCTCTCACTCGCTTGGCCTCATACACAGGATACGCATTACGTTATCAATTAACTTTTAATAATCGATTTTTAGACATTTGTTAATCGATTCATAATCCTCCACTTCAGCATCGCGATGCATCTAAGAATCGATTAATTCTCCCACCCCTATTATTCACTGGGTAGGTTTTTGGTTTTAGATTTGGTGATTTTGATATTCTCACAAGCACCCACACTTCAACCCTCAACCCTGCACACACACACCTCTTTCTGATTTTCTCTCGCTGTATCATACAGGGACAAACACTTACACGTGGTTTGTCAGCAGTATGTTTTATAGCCAAAAAAAACACTGGCCGCGTTTTGAACCTCTTTAGCCCAGTTAGCAACTTTTGGATGGATCTGCATGTGGAGGAGGCCTACACTACATCTCTCTCTTTCTGTTCCTCTGCACCTGTCAGTAGACCCTACAGGGATCAATCATCGATGGCATTGGTCTCTTGGACAAGTAAAATAAAGCGAGGATTCTCTGTTTTGTATTATGTGTTCAGTGCAGCCTAAGAATAGCCATTTAAAATAGGCTTGAAACAACTTTTAAAGTGATCATATACTGGAAAACAAAGCAAAAACAAATGACACAACTGTGCAAATGTGGAATGACCATTGAAAGTAGATGTCATCATAATCATCACAAATTCAGAATAACTGTATTGCAGAGATGTCCTAATCTGTAATGACCACACATTATGTGATCTACATTGTGGCTATGGCAAAATCAATCTTACACTCACCTGGAGGTCATAAATCCTAGGATCTCTGCAGTGCCTCTGCTGTCTTGCCCATCTGTGAGGCGCTCCACCTAGACAGGACAATCAGCTGTGGTGTCAAGCTCACAGTTGAATTGGCTCCATAGGTTCAACATTAATCATGATGATGATGGAACTCAGAAAACCCCTGCAGACATTCAAACACAAACACATAAATGTAGGGCTGCAGCTAACGATGATTTTAGTATTCAAAGCTTCGACAGATTATTTCAACGATTCATCGATGCGTCATTTAAGAAGTACTTTTGCTTGGCGGCGGCGCCCCCCCGATCAGCTGTGCACGTTTATAGGTATAGGTTTATTTATTAGTCCTTTCGGAAATTCATAGTGTGTCATACAGCAAACATCAGACCAACAACCAGACAGCTGCTTTACAAACAGAAACATCACCCGAGTGCTATACAAATTATACTAAAGGCTCGTGCAGACTACACGGTTTTCAGCGTCGGCCGATGGCCGTGCAGTTCACACAACTTGCCGTAATATGACGGCAGTCTTGAAGTCGTGGCATTAACATTACGTGACTGATCGGTGACAGGGACACACACACACACACACACACTACAGGAGCTGACAGCAGCTGTGTCACCTGACGCTGGTCTCCAAACCATGTTTTGTAAGGAAAACAAACGTGAAATGTGAAACGGGAAATGAGCGATCCAGCACACGAAACAGCTGCTGTTTGTTGTAGTGGGACGACCGTGTGGATTTGTGCATTTTATATTGAATAAATTTGGAGCTACTCCAAATCTCTCTTTTCCTCTCCCAGAGAGGAGCAGGGGGGTTAAAGATCAACTTCAACAGACTGCTAAAGAGACCCCAACAGAAAGGGGGTGGAAAAACTTGCTTTCTCTAAGTGCTTAACCCTGATCATAAAACTGGCACCTTTTTGATCTACGCAGCTGATAACGCGGTGCCTGCCCCCCCCCCGCCACCCAGCCGAACTTTAAATAACCAAAGACTGCAGTCTCCAAAGACCCCAAAGCCTTAAAGCCTTTCAGCCCATTAGTGCTGAAAAGAATCTAAATAAGTTACTTTGGCAAGATTAAGGACACTCCTTCATTTAATGTGTAACCAATACTTGTTCACAATACTTTCTCACACAATTCCTTTAGAAATGATGATAAAGAAATGTCATACTATACTCTTAATCGCCAGCTTGAATTTAAGGCTGAATAACTGAATTCCCCAGGTCCTAAGGAAATATTGTTTTGGATTAATCTAAGTTTTCCTCATGTAACCTGAGCTCCCCCAAGTGGACGAAATAAGTATTACATACCATCGTCGGAAATGCCGTTAAAAATATATAAATGTCACCCACTTATCCTGACCAATAATGTGACAATTGTTTTCCTGTTACCAAATGCTTAACTTAGAACGGTACAACTGTTTGACCATTGAGGTTTGATTGTGGAAAATATTTGATTATAATACGCGCATAGACTTTCTTTTTAGACAATCAAAAGTTTAGAAAGGCAGTCCCTCGGGAAACCGGAAATGCTCCCTCGGGAACAAAGGACTGCCCTCTGGGGAACCACGCCCCAGGCAACAAAAGAGCGACACGCGACGTCGTTCGCTCTCTCTGCTCTGCTCTTCCCCTCGTGCCCTGGTCTTCCGCTCTGCTCTCTGGACGCTTCGGCATGCGTCCGGCGTGCCTCTCCAGGCAACGCCCTAAGAGTTCGGCCAACGCAACAGGCCTTTGATCGCTTGAAGCTACACACGCAAAGTGCCGCGACATCGATCTGCCCCTCAGTTTGTTTTATTTTCTTTCTTTTGTTTTGTTAAAGTTGTCAATCCATTAAGTTACACTGGACTAGGATTATAACAACTCCGGTGGTGCCCCGAAACGAGAGATTGATATTTTCTGAATATTAAAATTCATAAGTGGGTATTAATTCTCATAAATTTATTAAAATTCATAACTAATTTAGCCATGCTACATTGTTATTGTAAAAATAACAGTTATAAAGACAAAGAATATGGGTGAAGGATGGATTAGCACAGGCAGGTAGCAAGGATTGTCTGAGCTACAGAGAGTTGGAGGCGAGTTAAAAAGGTGTAACTCACGGCCCAAAAAGGAGAACAAACGCACGTGTGCACAGTTTCAGCTGAGGACTGCGGCTTACTTTGGCTAGCCTTCAACTCAACAATCAATCATGATTTCAGTTAAATGCTAAAGTTGCTGTTACTGTTACCTTGTCTGTGGTCCGGCTTTTTGTTCAGCTGCCGTCATGCTGTTACCAAGGCAACATAAGTTCACAGAGTTTTTTTCTTTATCTTGAAATAATCCCATACTTTGGACACTTTCTTCTTTGTCCCTCGCTATTTTCTGTCTCTTCCCCCCACTTTGCAAACAGCTCCATCATAATCATGTCGTGTTTCCAGCGTAAGCGCGATGTGCGACAGTAATAAATGTCCGTGCGAAACACTGTGCTATATAGTTACATGGATTAAACGAAGCATCGATGCAAAGAATTTGTGTTGAAGCATTTTATTAATCGATAAATCGTTTCATCCAGAGATGTGCAAATTGAAAACATACCTTGGATAGCTGTAGTGTCACTCAATAGTTAATCCTGCAGGAGCAGATAGAACACAAAGAATTCCCATTAGTCCAGTTAACAAGAATGTCATCAATTGCTGATTTTTTAAAATAAACTCAGCAAAAAAAGAAACGTCCTCTGACTTTCAACAGTTTTTTCTTTCAGTAAACTTAATGTGTGTAAATATTTGTATGAACACTAAAAGAGTCAACACCATAAGACATAAACGAAAAATGTTTCACAGACATGTGACTAACAGAAAGAGAATAATCTGTCCCTGAATGAAGGGAGGCTCAAAATCAAAAGTGCCAGTCAGTATCTGGTGTGGCCACCAGCTGCTTGAAGTACTGCAGTGCATCTCCTCCTCATGGACTGGACCAGATTTGTCAGTTCTTGCTGTGAGATGTTACCCCACTCTTCCACCAAGGCACTTGCAAGTTCCTGGACATTTCTGGGGGGAATGGCCCTAGCCCTCACCCTGCGATCCAACAGGTCCCAGACGTGCTCAATGGAATTGAGATCCGGGCTCTTCGCTGGCCATGGCAGAACACTGACATTGCTGTCATGCAGAAACTCACGCACGAGCAGTATGGATGGTGGCATTGTCCTGCTGGAGGATCATCTCCGGATGAGCATGCATAAAGGGTACCACATGAGGGAGGAGGATGTCTTCCCTGTACCGCAAGGCATTGAGATTGCCTGCAATGACAACAAGCTCAGTCCGATGGTGATGTGATATACCGCCCCAGACCATGACGGACCCCCCACCTCCCAATCGATCCCGCTCCAGAGTACAGGCCTCGGTGTAACGCTCATTCCTTCGACAATAAACACGAATCCGTCCATCACCCCTGGTGAGACAAAACCGTGACTCATCAGTGAAGAGCACTTTTTGCCATTCCTGTCTGGTCCAGCGAAGGTGGGTTTGTGCCCATAGGCGGCGTTGGTGCTGGTGATGTCTGGTAAGGACCTGCCTTACAACAGGCCTACAAGCCCTCAGTCCAGCCTCTCTCAGCCTATTGCAGACAGTCTGAGCACTGATGGAGGGATTGTGTGTTCCTGGTGTGACTCGGGCAGTTGTTGTGGCCATCCTGTACGCAGGTGTGATATTCGGATATACCGATCCTGTGCAGGTGTTGTTACACGTGGTCTTCCACTGCGAGGATGATCAGCTGTCCTTCCTGTCTCCCTGTAGCGCTGTCGTAGGCGTCTCACAGTGCGGACATGGCAATTTATTGCCCTGGCCACATCAGCAGTCCTCATGCTTCCCTGCAGCATGCCTAATGCACGTTCACGCAGATGAGCAGGGACCCTGGGCATCTTTCTTTGGGTGTTTTTCACAGTCGGTAGACAAGTCTCTTTAGTGTCCTGCGTTTTTAGAACTGTGACCTTAAGTGCCTACTCTCTGTAAGCTGTTAAGGTCTTAATGACCATTCCACAGGTGCATGTTAATTAATTGATTATGGTAAATTGAACATGCATGGAAAACATTGTTTAAACCCTTTACAATGAAGATCTGTAAAGTTGTTTGGATTTTTATAACATTATTGTTGAAATACACAGTCCTGAAAAAGGGACGTTTCTTTTTTTGCTGAGTTTACTATATTTTATCATTTCACTTACTCAGCGATACAAGAGCTGCTTTCGCAAGTCAGGTGATTATGGACAAGATGAAATCCCTTCAACAGCACTCTCTATAGTCCTTAATGGGCACACATATGAACACCAATTTTCTATTAGTTTACAAAATAATGGCCATGTAAACACTTCTCACAAACATTTGATACTGGAATAGTTTAATGTTGTGAGAAATGTATTTAGTCTCTAAGAGTAAGTTACCAGTTCAATAGTTACATCTAGCTAAAAAGTAATCAGTAATACATAAATCATACCATAAATCCTCCATAACAATGATAATGTTCAGTTTTGGATGAAACTGATTCAGAGAGTTGTTGATTCGACTGTATGATCATTTTGGAAACTGCAGTTGTGCTGCCGATGCTAAATAACACACACTCTTTTGTGTAATAATGCAACTCATGTCAACGTAACATTACCACAAACATCTTCCAAAATGAACAAATGATAAAATAGTTTCAATGAAAACTGAGCATTTTTCACCGGTTAAAAGGTTTCATTACCACAGTGGAAAAATAACGTTAACGTTACTCCTTTACAGATACATATTAACGTTACAGCCACTTCAGACGAGGCAACTAGTCTCTGAAGGGCTGAGGAGAATCATTAGGTTTACAGTTAATAAAGTTCACATTAAACTTTTAGCCATGCATCAACACTATTTCAGGAACAGCTTATAAACAAACGCAGAAGTTGACTGTCTCCACAATATAACTTTAACTAACGTGAGTTAACATTAACTGACAGTGACAGCAGTTCACAATAGTGCAAACGCTACCTCAATGTGAGCCAGCTTACTTCTAGCGTTAGCCTTTCTGTAAATGTAACTGCGCCTGACAACAGAGCCGAAATGTGATCAACTTTTTTACTCACCGGACCAAAGTGCATTCTCTGCCGACTGTCAGGCGAAGGCTTCAGTCACAACGTTACGTTACTTTGGAGCTAATGTCCGTTAACGTTAGCATAAAAGTCACGCGCCAAACTGCCTCTACATCCTGAAGCGGTCCTCCCAGAGCACACACGGTTGTAAAATAGAAGTTAAAGACCACAAAAACATTTCTTTCACAGCACAGCGAATAAATATTGGTTCTCTTGACTTTCATTAAATAGTTTTGTCAGGTTCAGACACCTATAATATCAGACGAGTAAATATGAGATAACTTATATACATACTGGTTCCAACAAGTTTATTAACAGTTTTGCTCCGTTACTTGCAAAACCGTCTCCCTCGCATCGGGTAGCCATCTTGAATTTTCTGAAAACGTAAAGTCCCGTTTGGCCGCTAATGACGTCACAAGTCAGCGTGCGTTTCAACACTCGAAGGGTTTGATTTAGAAATCCATCATCAGTCAAAAACGATGATACACACATAATTAAAACAACATAACTCGTTAAGAAGACTTGGTTGTTTAGTGTATAGTATACTTATTAGCGGGCTTTGATTGCTGAACTCATAATTCTTTTGAGTAAGCAGTGTGTTCGGGTTTACAGTGTGTATATCTCATTTCCATATTACAGATTCCTGATTCATCCAGTATCACATAAATTGAAAGGAGGGTTTCACACTGAGGTCTAGCAGTATGACTGAGCAAAATGAGGGCTTCAAATTAAAAAGAGAGAAATGTCTTCCTCTATTCAGTGATTATCTTCCTCTCTAATTCTCTGCAGATCTGGGATACAGCTGGACAGGAGCGGTTCCGTAGTGTTACTCATGCCTACTACCGTGACGCCCATGGTGAGACACTCCCTGCACATGTACACACTTGTATACAGTGCAGTTTTAGTATTACGTTTGGTGTGTTGTTTTTTTTACCACCATTATTGTTTTGTGGCAGGTGGAGATGAAGTCATAAAATATATATACTTATACACGTTAAACTATCTACCGGTGCATTCTTGTACAATTAAATGGAGGTTTTGGAGTATTCTTGTTCAGAACTGCTGTACTGGCATTAAAGTTTTTATACCTGTTATAATTCACAGCTGTGTTAGTGTGAAAGTGTAGTTGCGATTGTTCTTCTTCCACTGTGCAGTATTATCAAGCGCTGAGGTTTTGCTGCTCTTCTGCTGTGATGGAAGGACACATTCAGAATTCATGGGACTCTTTGATGATTTGAAATCAGTCATCACCGACGGGTGTGTGTTTGTGTATAAGTCTGCATGTGTGTACGTCTGCTTTTTATTCATCGTGACGTCATTGTTGGCCATGCGAGGTTCATTTAGAAAGCTCTTAGTGGCACCACTCCATTGTTTGCTCACAAAGCTGGTAATCAAGGCAGAGCTGCTTTTAGTAAATAGCTTGAATCAAATCCACATAACCTGGTGTGTGAAGCACAAGACCCCGAGCAATACGAAAACATATTAAGATATGATTAACCATCTTTTTTTAACCATCCAGGTGTGTAAATGTCAGGAGAAAGCTAAGTAAGTCACACACTGAACGTTGTCAACAATTATTCATGGTGGTAGACAGCCACAGCCTGAGCTTCCAACATTTAGTGGGTATTTTCATGTAAAAGAAATCGACTGTGAAGCTAATATACTGGCCCCAGGTGCACCACAGAGTGTAAAAACTATTTTCTCATGGTGTTATTCCCCGATCACTCACACTGCTAAAAAACAAAAAGTGATTCACCGAAAAAACTGCTTGATATGAAATGTGGCTGTAATTAATGGATTTTACCTTCACACACATAGAACAGCTTTCCAAGCAGGACTGACTTTTCTCTGAGGGTCACCAAATGGAGTCTGCTCTTTTTTTGGCACTTGATATTCGAACAATGTTGCACAATGTGTTTGTCATTTTGTCCCCCTCATATGTATGGAAATGCATCACCTTGATTGGTCTTTTAATCTCGGGTTAGGGTTAGCTAACCCTAACCCACATCTGAATGTCTTGATTTTCAATTACTTTTTCATTAATACCATGAAGCATTTCACAGGAGCACAGTGTTACATCACACACAACAGATGTGACCTTTTAAATGCTGATGACCTTCTCACCTGTCTGTTCTAAAAGTGAGAAAATAATTACAAAATGTCCTCTGGTATTTCTGGGAAAAAATTTTTAGCATAGGATCTGAACATCAAACTTTATTGTTAGCTCTTGTAGGATTTATGAGCGCTTTACAGGCTCCTGTAAATAAATGTCTTTTTGCGCCTATGGCACAGTAACAAGTACTCGACTCATCACTTGAACAACCATGTAGATACCAAGCCTATAAATGTTGCTGACTGTGATTCACTGCAACTTTGTCTAACCTGAACAAACTCCTGTTTGAGGAACAGACTGTCAGTGAGCTTTTGAAGTCTGAAGTGTTGTTCAAAAGGGTCTGCGTCTACTTTCTCCAGCTTTCAGTATTTTGTTCAAATAAAAGCAGGTACGTTTTGATCTGCCTGCCTACCTTTAGTGAGTGTATGCTCTAGACTGTCAGTCTCGGTGTGCTTCACATAAACTCTGAAAACAAACTCAAGTTTATTTCTGCAAAGTGTACTTTTGTACTTCCCTGTATCCCTACATTCCCTTCCCCTATCCCTACAGTGAATTGATCGTGTAACACAAGCAGTCGTTGCAGGTTTTAGTGTAAGCCCTGGCAACTCTTGCCTGTTTTTAAGCTGCACTATACATCTGTCTACATCAAAGTATCTCTGTGAAATGCCAGTCGACCTTGGGCAAAGCTGTGCCTTGAATTGTATATGAATCTTCAAGTGCTATGTAGCAGAAGGTAAAGAAACAGTTTTCTTTTTTGTCATTTTTCTGTAGAATTTGAAAATTAAACACCCAAGCTGAATGCGGGATGATTAAGGTGCAATAAGTAATATTTTTATATCCCATATTACTTAATTACCATAATGTAATTGAAATGGTGTGATAAGGTCATTGATCAAAACAATAACTTAAAAGGTGAAGCTTTCTTGTAGGGCTGAAACAATTCATCGATTAAACATCAAAGACCAAGTGAAAGAAAAAAAGATTGCCCAGAGGGCATCTGAATTAAATTTCATTTGGACTCGGGGATGCTAAGTAATCAAAGAAATCGATAGCTCGTTAAATCCATATTACCATATAGCGCACTGTCGCATAGACATTTATTACGCACTTACACTTACGCTGTGGGAACACGATGTGATTAATTATGGCACTGTTTGCAAAGTGGAGGAAGAGAGAGAGAGAGCAAAAGTACTTCTTAAACGATGCATCGATGAAACAATGAAATAATCTGTAGAAGCTTCGTGGTGGTTGAGAGGGGTAAGCAGGGTGGCAGACCCGAACGCAGAGCAGAGGAGGTACAAAAGGCGAGCACACTTACTGGCAGAGTGGCTGAGACTAATCCAAAAATGAACATAGAAAACCAACAGAAAATCCAGAACGAGTGTAATCCAAAATACCAGGAACTAACAGGGAACAGGCAGGTAACAGGACAAGACAGCGCAAACTACAACCATGACAACGAGGAACAGAGCGTATACACACGACAATGACCAGACAAAGACTGAGGGAAACAAGCAAGGATATATACACAGGGTTAACGAGCTGGGAGGAGGTACACAGGTGAGGGACATGAGGCTAACGAGACACAAGCAGACAGAGAGACAGCAGGGGAAAACAGAGAGACTGGCATGCAGAGTGATAAATGGGGGAACAGACATGACACAGGTTACTGAACACATAACAGATCACCAAGAACTGTAACCAACAAAGAATACAGACTGAAGCAGGGATAAAAGAGAACACAGAGCAGACAAGGGCAAAATAACACAGAGGTACATAGACCAAAATTAAACACTAAACATGAACTAAACAAGAGAAACAGAGGCAAACAGAAGGACACGTGAAACAATGGCAAAACCCAGAAACCCACAGGGGAAAAAAATACAACTCAACACTACTTTCTTGTAAATACAAATTTTCTGTTTTTAGTGTTTATCACCAGAGGTCATTCTCTTCAGATTTTTTAAATATTTAAAGCAGCTATAAAATTATTTGCATTTGCTTCACTTAAAAGCAACACACTAAGATTAAGATGACTATCATGCTTAATTTAATCATTCTACCTTCTGCTAACATCAGTCATCAATTCATCAAATTTGCTGGGGTTTTTTTTCAATTTCTCTATCACATTGTAATTCCACCAGTAAGGTTACCACTTCAGTCAAACTGTATGCGACAAACAGCGCAAGAGTGGGTCATATGCTGGTGTCGCATCAGATAGATGGAGTTTGCTGTGAAATTGGTGAACCGGCAGTGTCAAGTGGACCCAACATCAGAAAATCAGATGCTAGAGAACACCTTAAGCTTTTCACAAATAAATTTGACGCCAACGGCCATAAATTCAGTTCTGCCGAGTCTTTGGCCAGGGTAGGTACTGTTTTATGCTTTATTATTGTTTATGTGTATATGCAACAAGGTTTATGTTTCAGTCACGTTATGACACACTAAAGGATTTGCAGGTCACTCAAGCTTGCCAGCAGTACTTTTATGACCTTAAACCTATTTACACCCACAATGCTTGACATGCAAACACCCCTCCATGAAGCCAAATTGATGATGAATGGATCTAATTTTCTCTGCCATAACTTTTCAGGGCAAGAGCAGAGCTGCAGGGGGAGAAAATCCAGAGCTAAAGCACTGGTGCACTCACGGAGACGATGAGTGTGGGAGGGTGGAGGGACTTGAGTTAGGAGAGGTTCTGGAAGAGGACAGAGAGAGAGAAAGGCATGTAGGGAGGATTATTTTAGATGGTGGTGAATATGCACTGTATCCGCTGTGTGGGAGAAGAGGTGTAGACAGTCATCAGATATTTTTCAGCTCATTTTTGTGTAAAAAGTCAGTGATTGTTCAGTTTTCAGCATGTTTTTTTTCCTGTATATAAGCTAATCTTGGTCTAGCTTATGTGTGTAGAACCACAGTGAGAATAAAATCAAAAAGAAGCTAACAAAACACACAGAAGAAATGTAAATTACAAGTTTGCTTGGAGAGAGGTTGTTTGGATAAAAATATAAGTCTGCAAAACATTTTGTTTTCTGAGTTAAAAAAGAAACATAATGGTAGATAATGTTGATATTCCCACCATATGCCTGTAAATCTCCTTTCATTCAGTAATTTTGCCCCATCCCAGATTAATGGAGGCTCATGGACACAGGGACCTGAGGTATATTGGTGATCAACATAAAGACAGGCGATTTCCTTCTTTTGCTCAGCCCAAGTCCAAATGAAATTTAATTCAGATGCCCTCTGGGCAATCCTTTTTCTTTCACTTGGTCTTTGATTTGTTTGTTTTCACATCTCCTGCAGAAACTAGTCATTTGAAAGATGCTTCAGCCAGCAGCACCTGAATGGCGAAGCATCTGATGAAATGTGGGGATAGAAACTATTTAGAATTCATAAGTCATCTGTTAACTCCAGGTGAAAGATAATCATGTTAACAGACTTCCCTACTAAAGTTTGGAAATTTACTGAAATTATTTTTGCTAAATTTAGGCTTCAATGTCACTGTTTTGTTGGGTTAGGTTCATGGGAATCCATTTTACATGTATTCTGGTTGTGCCCATGGCTGTTGGTCAAAGATGTTTTAAATGTCTTGAAATCATATAAATGAACTATGCTGGCTGATGAATCATGCCCACACAGCATCAAGCTCTAGGCAAGGGTACAGTCTAACAGATGATACTGTTGGAAACTGTAAAATAGGTAGTCAACTTTTTGATGTTTTAAAAGGAAATTATTATTTGCATGTCAGGCAACATTTCCTAAACTCTGTAAGAAAGGCTTCATTTCACCGAAATGCTTGATGATGTACGAACCCTGTAATTACCTTCTGCTTCATAATGTGCTGTACAATATAATGAAAAGCATTGAAGCTCAAGTTGAAAGTGAAATTATAAAAAGATTTAATCCCTGATGCATGACAGAAAATAAGAACATATTAAAACATTTCAAATGTTGTTAGTGAAATCCCAGATGTGAGATTGAAAGTGAAGCGTTTGTGTGAGCTAGTGAGTGTGTGATTGTGAAGAAGAGAATAATCAGAATTTTTTCTCTAATACCCACTGCTGTTATTCCATCTTTACCTTTCCTCTTCAATTCTGTCATTGTTTTCTCCTTTAAAGTGTCTCACCAATTGAGGTTTCTATCCATTGTTACCATAATGCTTTTCATTCCAGGGTCTGCTTTCTCTTCTAATCAAGCCTTTCTCTATTCTGTGCTCACAATTTCTTCCTTCAAACCTCAATTTCACTGTTCCATTTGCCAGTAAATCGTGTGTATAATGAGGCTTGATTGGGTCCATTTTTTTCCAGTTCTTAAAAGATAACAGATGTTCTATATATTTTACACAAACTGCAAATGATTGATTTGATTAACTCCCCCCCCCCAAACTGCACAGTCCTTCACTGCCTCTTAAATACCTGCACTCCCTCGGTGACCTGCTCCAGAGACAGATGGTGGAACATGGACTGAGGAATCTCTGCAGTTAAAAAGGCCCCTTCACTGTTCTCGTGTTTGTATCATCCATTTTGTGAAGTTGAACACTTGACAAAATAATTGTGTTATATTGTGTCAGATTGATATACCTGTTTTTTATTTAAGGTGTTGCTGGTTTTGTCAACATATGGTCAGGTTTGGTTATTAGTTGAATATCAAAGATATTCTAGAAATATTAATATAATTATTAATATTCAAAATTATTCATTATTATTAATAAATACGGGGCACCACCCTGGAATCAGGGACCAATAACCAAATATGAGCCAAGTATGATCAGTCTAAAATAGGGTTTGTCCACCTACTGATGGCAAACAGAGAAGGGTGAATCTGTACACTGGCCATGGCAACCAACTCTTACTACAACATTATACACAAATAATCACAGGCAATGACTTTTTAAAATTATAATAGGATTTATTCAACTCAAGCATAGATCAATGATCAATAACTTTAGCAAGTAAATCACTATTAACTATTCTAAGCTAATTAAATAAAGCCAATAAACAAATCATACAAAAACATACAACAATCCAGCAAGCGTGTGTGCGTGTGTGCGTGTGCGTGTGTGTGTGTGTGTGTGTGTGTGTGTGTGTGTGTGTGTGTGAGAGAGACAAAGGAGGGGGGTGGATCTGACCACATGGGTGGTGTCAGATCCGGTTGTGCTAGAGGCCAGCTGATTTATGGAATCAAGATGGCGGTTCAAACCATGTGATTTCAAGATCAAGATGGCGGAAAATCACTCTCACCTGATCTAAAAAAATTTTTTAAAAATGGGTGATGCTAGCCTACTGTGGGTCACAGGTCTGGTTAGCTTCAGTGATCACGTGGTGTGTGCATGTGGGGTTAGTAAGCAGAAGGAGGAGAGAAAGGCACAGAGCAAAGCTATATACATACAATATACCACAAACTATCTTACAGCCACAATAGCAATTTGATTTGATAGCAAGTAGATGCGTCAGTCCTTTTGGGAAATCCGGTGGAGTTTCTCTTGGCTCGGTTCTGACAATGCCAGTAGATTCAACGGCACAACTGATTCTTTGGCGGCAGCAACAGTAATTAGTGAAGTCGACGTTGGTTGAGAAGGTATAACACAGAGGTGATCTTCTCTCAGTTAAGCACGGAGTTTATCCGTCTTCTTCTGCATGCACGAAACGTTATCTTGTGTATAGCGGTTTCCTTAGATATCCAAAATTGTGTTGGTAGCACAAAGAAAAATAATAGAGGTAAAAAGAAAAGAAGAAAACAGAGTTGCTCGTCCAGCGAGTGAAGTCTGTATTCAGGAACAAAGTTCAGCGCTGAAAGGAAATACCTCCTGTGGCTGCTGGTGTAGTTGCAGAAAGGCAGGGTTTGTTTACCTCCTTACAGTCCTGTGACAGACTGGGAATGGCGATGAGGGTTCGGAAGTGTTCAGTTTTATACCTCCGTTAACAAAATGGCTGTACTTCCTGGGATTACTCTGCCCCCTGAAAGCTTTAACCAACACAACCTTTGGTTTTCAAAGTTAAGAGTTGACAGGTAGGTGTGAATTAACTGACCAGGGCCATCTGGGATTTCCATTGTTCTCTGACCCCCTTTGTGAAGTCAAGCCCCATGGCCAGGCTGTTCAGTGACCTGCAGGCCCAGCTTTGTCTTTAGTTTATCCTTTGTCTTACAGACTCACAGACAGGCTCCTTAGTGACCTGAAGGCCCATTTTTGTTGTCATGGATGTGAGGCCCAAAAAAGGTCACAATAAGAATTAACATAATTGGGAAACTGTTGGGATATTTTTAAAATATTTCTAATAATATCTCATTTAGTGTACTCATGTAGTGCTTCTTGTGAGTTGATTCTGGCCATTTCAGCCAACATAAGTGTGAAGAAATGGATTTAAAAAAATTAAGTGTGGCATCTAAATACAGAGAGCCATGGCTGCTGCTGGTGGATTAAACAAACTTGTTCCTGTGAGCAGTTGTGAAACAAATTATTGGATTTATTACAGTAAAGTTAATTTTCCCTGACATTAGCTCAACTATTCAACTTCTGAACTTGGGAATGTTTGGTTACTTCTATGCAAATGACTTAGTAGGCCTATTATTATCTTGGTATTCACATTCATTTATGACACAGAAATACATAGAGAGCCGCTGGTAATGACTGAGGGAGTGTATTGCTCAAGGTCATTTCAACAAGGCAAGTCTTCTGCTGCTGTGTAACTAAAGTTTACAGCTTCCAATCAGGATGAGTCTGATTCACTGTCAGAATTTGATTCCTGTTAGAGCAGCCATGTTGACAACAGTGCTATGGACTGGGGAAAACCAAGCCAGTGCTCAATTTGTAATATTTCTTCAAGGCTGAGTCTCATAAAATTCAACCAGTGTCCATGTTTTGCAGCGATTAAAGTCTTTTAAACCAATGCCAAATAGGATGCTATGTAAAATAAATTGTATGTTACCCACCTAAAGTCTTAACTGTGGTCTGTTTGAGTCTTGCTAATTGTTATGCAGGACTTTGTCAGGCCGAGAAAGAGAACTCAAATTAATCGGTCTTGGGCCCAGAGTGAAATGAACTCTTTCATTATTTAATTTGAAAAGGAGTTTAGACTTCAAGTTGAAAGATTATATTAAACATTAGATGAGAATTTTTTCCACCAAACCATTTTACAATATAAAATTATTTGCCGTCATGAATTTTAGATGACACTCTTGAACTTTTCTCTATTTCTTGTAGCTTTGCTTTTGCTGTATGACGTCACCAACAAAACATCCTTTGACAACATACAGGTAAGTTCCCTTTTGTATTAAGTAAAAAAGTTGTAACTACTCACCTCCTATTGTTTTGCGTTAGATCAATTTTCTTTTTCATACTTTACATCAACAGACCTTGTTATTCTTCCATAAACGTGCACCAGATGTCACGCCTGACATGGTAATTTGAATTTATTCATTGGCCCATCAGATTAATTTTGCGGATCAGAAGGCTGTGGCTAGATCATGGCCACAACTGTTCTCACAAAAGGCTCTGTAACATCTGATACATGAATTAATGGATGATACAGCTTTGTAATGACAAAATGCTGAGCTTCATTGCTACTGTCATTTTTTGGCAACATCATTACGACACGATTTTATGAAAGTCAGTACATGTGACAGCAGGTTGAACGAGTAGAGAGTGATCTGGGTTTCTTCTCTCACTGTTAAATGGGAACCAAACAGCAGAACAAAAAAGAATAGGAGGGTGAGGAATGGGGGAGATTGATTTAGTGAGGGATAGCATTGTCAGCTTTTAGTCAAAACCATAGACTGTGTAATAGAAGTGGACGCAGTCACCATGACATCAGCCTTTGGTTTGTGAACTGCTGTTTTGAAGCCTTGAATCTGGCTTTTTGACCGCCGCCATCTTGGGTTTTATTTAACCAGAAGTGACCATATTTGGATAAGAGGGTGGGGCTAGCTAGCTTTGTTAGCAAGGTGCATCTGTTTTTAGACAAAAACACTGACAGCACTGAAAAAACAAGTTCACCACTAGTTTAATGTACCTAGTGCAGTGTATACAATTCACTTCTATCCTGATTGACAGGTTGCTGTGGTAGCGACTTGTCATCCTGGTTGCCAAGCCCTAAAGAATACCTGCTTTATCGTCTATTTTACTCTAAATTAGACCATCATTTACAAAATGAACATCAAGCTGTTGAAACTAGCGATTGAGACCATAAAGTGTTTACTGAGGTAATAAATCAACTAAGACGTAGGGTCATTTTGTCATAGACTCCAATGCAATTGGACATCTTTTAGCAACCAGTGGGGTCGCCCCCTGCTGGCCATTAGAAATCATGTAAATTTAAGGCCACTTGGTGAAAACTGTCTTCATCCCTCTCTTTCTATTTCCACTGAACTCTAATGCCTACAATGAGGGGACAAAAATGTGGTGACTTTGTGTGGCTGCTGTCTCTCAGAATTAAATATTGACAATAAAATTCTTAATGCCATGGAATAGATTATATATAGGTTATATCTGCCCTCAGAAGGTGTATCTCTTGTATGTCCAATAGAACCTTATCTCCAGGTTTATAAAATTGAAAAGAATTAATGTAGTTACATATTATTATTAGTCCCTGCAGGGAAATGTGTTTTCTGCATTTGGCCAATGCAACTAATCCAGAGCAGTGGACAGCCACTGCTCATAATGATTGTCTCCAGTTTTGGGGCCAATAAGTAGTATTGTTGAAATGTCTTCTTTTTTATTATTTTTTTTATGTATGACTTTGGAGTATGGCAGAAAATCAAGAGGGGAAACATGAACATTCCAATCAGCCCTGCAGGGGATCATTCAGTGCTGAGAATTGAGCCACTGTGGTGCCTGTCCTGCATGTTGGCATGGACTCTTTAAATGTTGTGGCTGTATGCACTCTGACAACAGGAACACTGAAAACTGATTAGACGATGAAGGATGAAAGTGATAAGAATTACCTGACCACTCATGCAAAGGAAACCATTCATTAGTACAGAGGATGTTATTTCACCCATGACCAGATACTATAGATGCACAGATTCATAAATTGAAAGTTAACATGAAAGAAACTGCATATAGCATATAAGCTTTATATTTAAAAAAAAAAAAAAAAAAAAAAAGTAGTTTGATGCAGCCTGTCCCGCAGAACACAGCAGTTTACAAATGAAATTACAATTTAGTCTTTTTATTGATTCAGCTAATTAAAAGAAAATGAAACTTCAATACATGAGGGCAGATAGCCAACTTGACACAACAAACCTCATATTTTCTATTTTTGTCACGTAGTAACTCTGTGCATATACACAGAAAACAAACATTACAGTATACAGTGGGTACGGAAAGTATTCAGACCCCTTTAAATTTTTCACTCTTTGTTTCACTGCAGCCATTTTTCAAAAATCAAAAAAGTTCATTTTATTTCTCAGTATGTACACTCAGCACCCCATCTTGACAGAAAAAAAAACAGAAATGTAGAAATTTTTGCAAATTTATTAAAAAAGAAAAACTGAAATATCACATGGTCATAAGTATTCAGACCCTTTGCTCAGTATTTAGTAGAAGCACCCTTTTGATCTAATACAGCCATGAGTCGTTTTGGGAAAGATGCAACAAGTTTTTCACATCTGGATTTGGGTATCCTCTGCCATTCCTCCTTGCAGATCCTCTCCAGTTCTGTCAGGTTGGATGGTAAACGTTGGTGGACAGCCATTTTCAGGTCTCTCCAGAGATGCTCAATTGGGTTTAAGTCAGGGCTCTGGCTGGGCCATTCAAGAACAGCCACGGAGTTGTTGTGAAGCCACTCCTTCGTTATTTTAGCGGTGTGCTTAGGGTCATTGTCTTGTTGGAAGGTAAACCTTCGGCCCAGTCTGAGGTCCAGAGCACTCTAGAAAAGGTTTTCGTCCAAGATATCCCTGTACTTGGCCGCATTCATCTTTCCCTCGATTGCAACCAGTCGTCCTGTCCCTGCAGCTGAAAAACACCCCCACAGCATGATGCTGCCACCACCATGCTTCACTGTTGAGACTGTATTGGACAGGTGATGAGCAGTGCCTGGTTTTCTCCACACATACCGCTTAGAATTAAGGCCAAAAAGTTCTATCTTGGTCTCATCAGACCAGAGGATCTTATTTATCACCATCTTGGAGTCCTTCAGGTGTTTTTTTGCAAACTCCATGCGGGCTTTCATGTGTCTTGCACTGAGGAGAGGCTTCCGTCGGGCCACTCTGCCATAAAGCCCCGACTGGTGGATTGCTGCAGTGATGTTTGACTTACTACAACTTTCTCCCATCTCCCGACTGCATCTCTGGAGCTCAGCCACAGTGACCTTTGGGTTCTTCTTTACCTCTCTCACCAAGGCTCTTCTCCCCGATAGCTCAGTTTGGCCGGACGGCCAGCTCTAGGAAGGGTTCTGGTCGTCCCAAACGTCTTCCATTTGAGGATTATGGAGGCCACTGTGCTCTTAGGAACCTTAAGTGCAGCAGAAATTTTTTTTAACCTTGGCCAGATCTGTGCCTTGCCACAATTCTGTCTCTGAGCTCTTCAGGCAGTTCCTTTGACCTCATGATTCTCATTTGCTCTGACATGCACTGTGAGCTGTAAGGTCTTATATAGACAGGTGTGTGGCTTTCCTAATCAAGTCCAATCAGTATAATCAAACACAGCTGGACTCAAATGAAGGTGTAGAACCATCTCAAGGATGATCACAAGAAATAGACAGCACCTGAGTTAAATATGAGTGTCACGGCAAAGGGTCTGAATACTTATGACCATGTGATATTTCAGTTTTTCTTTTTAATAAATTTGCAAAAATTTCTACATTTCTGTTTTTTTCTGTCAAGATGGGGTGCTGAGTGTACATTACTGAGAAATAAAATGAACTTTTTTGATTTTTGGAAAATGGCTGCAATGAAACAAAGAGTGAAAAATTTAAAGGGGTCTGAATACTTTCCGTACCCACTGTACATTTGTACTATAATGGATTTTTGTTGTATTTTATTCAGATACCTTTTGGTAGGTTTGCCTCTGAGATGTATCACTTAAGAACCTTTCTGTTCTACCTTTCATTCATTTTTATTTGCATCAACAAAAATGCCAAAGCAAGCTGTGAAAGCAAGTATAGAAACAAACAAAACAAAACAGATGATAGCTTGAAGCAAGAGAGAGTAAAAACGGAAGATCTGCAATACAGGAAGGGGGGATTTGAAAGGACACAGAGGAGAAGTCAAACTGTGAGTATAATCTAATCTGATATAATATAATATAATATAATATAATCTGTGAGTATAATAAAACAAATAAATAATATGTTAATAATGACAACAATGTTTGTCTTTATGTCTGTTTTAGCAGTCCTTCTGTATTGAAAGGAAACTTTCAGCTCAACTTTTCTGTTTTATGAATATACTGTAAAACATGTCAAAGTGAGTAGCCGTTAGGACCATAAAATGGCAGCTTTTCCCAAACATCTATCTCCTCCATTACCCTGCCTCGTAGTGCCACTACTGTCGGAGGAACTGAAGGCCATGCCAGCTGGTGTCACTATGTCATCATACCTGCAGTTTCCCTCTATATAGTAAATGTACCCTGCAACAACTGGGGGTGGCAATTTTCAGCAGCTTTAATTGACACTGGCCATGAGGGGAAAAAGGTCCCTTTCAGAGGAGCAAACGGGCTGTTAAGAGAAGGAGAGGCTGTTTGTCACCAGTCTCTGCCAGAGTAATATAATGTGCCCATCTTACAGATGAGCTGAGAGGTCATTAAAGCAGAAAAGGGTGCTTCTTTAGCTGCAGCTGCTCAAGGAATGTGTGTGTGTTTGTGTGTGTGAAGAATGTGGGCAGGAAGGACACTTATGTGTTGGACAGGCAATAGCCGAAGGGAGGACAAGTAACTGTCAACCACATGAAACAAAGTCTCTGGCGCTGTTATCTCTTCATGGTCCATGTTTTTTGTCATGTCAAAAACGACCTCTCAGCCAGCTGGGAGGACACTGACGGGGCATGTAGTTTGTGTAGACAGCTGCACGTCTACACAAACTGTCCTTCACACTGTTGTGCGCTGGATTATTCCTACTTACATTAGGAATGTCAGCACTGTAAGTATGCGCTTAATATGAAAGTGTTAGAAGTTTGTCATTATTGTGAATATGTCACCTTTAATCTAATCCAGTGTAGGACTGCAACTAATCAATTAATCTATAAATACTGTCATAAATATTCCCCTGAGCCCACTGGGGTATATGTGCGGGGTATATGTGCTGGGGTATATATGCTAA